TGTTATTTTATTTTCAGATAATATTTTGGCCGGGTTTTGAAACCGCAAGCTTCTCACAACGCTATCCCTATGTTATTATTGTTGATGTCTTAACAATGTAAAAACTTTAAGCTATTTGGCTCTTAAACTCAAATCCATTTCATTTTGATCACTTTGCCAAATTCGTGTCTAAAAGTGTATTACATTTAAAAGCATTGCACCTACTGACCTCCCTGCAGGGCATGCGTTCTCCTACATACTTGCATAAGCATAAATATATGATATATATGTACAAATAGTGCAATGTTTTTTAACAATAAAATAAGCACGTACTCGGTAGGGAGGTTTACAATTGCGTGGGTGCTTATTTGAATGCCACATAATATTGCAGAGCTGCATTTCTGCAGCATAGCACCGTTTGACGCTTGTCCACTTGCCCTTGTTTATGCCTTTGTGTCACACAATAAAACTAATATATATGTACGATGCATAAATGCCTATGTACATAGTATATAAACAAAGCAGAATGTTCATTTATTTGTACACAAGTTAAAGTGGAAATAAACTAAATGTGCGATTGCGTTGGCGCGATGACGGCAAACAATGCAATACAAAACATTGGAAACGATTTAAAATTGCATTCTTGTGCCATTACTTTGTGTTGTTCTTAGCTTAACTGTATTATAACTTTTAAATTTTTCATTGAAAATAATATTTTGCATTTTTAGATTTTATTATATGCAATTGTGCTTGTAATTCTCATCACGTTCACTTATAAGCACTTAGTGGGAGATTGTGGACGCTTAGATTACTTATTTAATTCGTGAAAAGTTTGATTTTTCACACTAGAGCTTAATGATATATGATCTAAGATGGATTGTAAAGTTTTTTGTAAGCTTTGTCAGATGCTAATTGCCCAAGTGATAAGTTAGGGTAGGTTGATTTGGTAGGCCAATAAACCACGCATAGACCGGTTTGGTCCTTTGCAATACCAGATGGAGTTCACTTGCTAAGTCCAAATCGTATAAGATGCCTGCGCCTAGCGCTAATTTTAACAGACTCTGCGGCCTCACTGTCGATACCTCCTACAGTGCATTATATTGTGGAGATCCCAGATGCTTACAGCGTAGTCTTGCCATTATGGGACAAGTACACAAGAAATGCTCCATTGTTTCTCTGGTGCCCTGCTCTAGGCATTTCCTGCAGTCTTCTCTATCTATCAGCCCCATTTTGTGGGCGTGTGTCGCCATCAGACAGTGACCAGTTAGTAGTCCTATCATGCTCATATAGTTTCTTCTGTCTTGTGGAATCAGGAGTTCTGTGTACTTCCGATGTACCATATTGTTACTTACTTCTGGCACTACTTTCCACTGCCGCCTTGCATCCCAAGACACAACAGCCAGTATGTGATACGAGGTTACTGTCTTGATTGCTACTTGGCTGTCTACCGTAGATGTTGACTCTGGAATTACTTGCAAGAGCATTAGAGATCAGCTGCACGACTTTCAATAGCAAAGACCTCAGCTTGAAATGTTCCCGCACCAACTCCATCGTATATTTTCGAGTCATCATTATAGATCGAACTATGCCCGAAGGTTTTATATGTAAATTCTCCCGCAGCCAGTAGTCCATTCTGCCGATTTTGCTGCGCAGTTTTCAGCGAATAAGTCTATAGGTGGCAGGTTTAGTGCCACTTCACGCATATATTAAACGTTGCTAGTTTTCCAACCAGAATGGAATTCATATGAATTTTAGTTAGATTCAGTATGTGTATTTTTAAACAAAACATGTTTTATTCTCCTTTGAATTTTGTACCGTTAATGTCTTTGCAAAAACTTTCTGTAGTGAATAAATCGAATATACGTTAGACTCGGTATGGGTAGTTTCCACTTGCAAGTCAGAAAAAACGAATTTTTGAAGAGGCACTTTAAATAATTTGTAAATAAAAATAATGTACTTTTACAGAATCCATTTGGATTCCCTTGATCCTTGAAAACTACTCAAAATTTTGATTTTTAACAAAATGGTAGCTTCGCTTTCCGGATTAGTTTACTTCACGGAGGATATGCTTCAGCATGACCAAGAATGACCTTTCTCGAAGCAAGTTGGAACACCCAGAGTGGAGCTTAGAACAGAAATATATGCTTTATCGTCATTTTCCAGCAGTGCAAATTCTAACTAAATACTGTTCGTAATGATAAGTTTCGCTGTTCGAATATTATTTTCAATATTAATTTGAAGCTGTTAAACGTTAATAACTCAAAATGATTCATCCAAATTCCGGTTGAGCTCCCGATTTTGTTCAGAATGAGTCACAGGCGCATAAATCTTCCAGGCATTTCATATTTTGAAATATAGGTGCTATTCGAAAGAATATTTGAAGCCGTAAAATACAGTATATGCTCGATGCATGAAATACTCTCGATTTGTTACAAAAAAAATCGAATTACGAAAATAAAAATTATAGTTTTTGCATAAAATTCAAAAAAAAAAAATTCAATCCAAAAATTAAGTTTTTATGTATTTATATGTACAAATATCATTAAATTTATGCCATAACTCTGAAATCTCGTTTTGAGTGAAAAAAATTGCATCTTAGATTTTTCTACTATAATTGCATGAAAGCTCGTGCTCGTCGTATGAATCTACTTTATTATCAAAGCAGTATAATTTTAAGCGTATACTTTCCATTTCTGCCCATATTTACCTTCTTCTATGCAGCTAATCCAATATTTTCTTCGCAAATACTTTTTTAACACCTCATACACACCCGTAAAAATTTTCCTTTTTTTTGTTTTTTTGTTACTACTTTCCGAAAACATGTCCGGTGTGAATGTTCTTCAAACCATAAACAGAATCGTTTGACATGACTGACATTAGTTAGCATGCGGATATGAGTTCACACAAACAAATACCATACATAAGCCAAACTGGCGATAGCAAACTGGCGAGAGTGAAAAATGATAGCATACACATGCAGAAGTGTTTATTTCCTATTCATGGAAGCTGCTTTTGAGAATATTCCTCAGCGCAAGCATATGCACACACACGCATATCTAATTACTTGTCAGCTGTCAGCTGTGTGTGCTTTTAAGCTAACCTCAAAAGTGGCACTACGGCATATTTGTATATTAGCCTAAGTATGTGATTTTATTTCGAAAAATAGAAATGTGTTCCGATAACTTCGCTGATTTATAACATCACACTAATGGCTTTTGTAAGGAGTCAATAGTGGCCTTGACTTGTTGTGGCCACGAAAACAAATACGTTGGTAAATAACAACCTTTTTTTATGGAAAATGAAACATTGCAAACGAAAAGTGCTTAATACCATTGTACTAAATATTAATGAAGAACATGAACAAGCATTTTATAAATATAGGTAATTAAGTGAGTTAAAAAGAGAATTTAAATAAATAAAGGTTATTTTTGTTATAAGATAGCTAGTCAAGGTCGGCACTATTGTTAACTTTACAGAATTCCGGGCGTAGTTTGGGAAAATGTCAGTGAAAATTTTGCAACATTTTCTTTTTATCACAACTATATAAAATCGAAAAAAAATCCTTCGTCCAAGTCATTAAGAATTGTACTATCCTTTGGAAATCTAAGCAAACAGACAACTTAAGCTTTTTTTTTTTTTTTGGTGACTATCGGCCTTGGAAGTGGTTGGAGGTGGTTCATTTTTTAGACCGTGATCTCTTGCATTTTAAATTCTTGTAAGTAACTCACTTTTCGTCTACAGTAACAATGATCTTCCAACATGGATCACTTCTTTGATGTTTGATAAACAAATCAAAGTCGATGAAGCAAATTTCGTTCTGTAAGAACATGTGGAACTCCCATGTAATCCCTCGAATTTAATTCTATACGTCGCATTTGCTTGTGAACGGTCATGTTAGACAAATTTAATCTTTTTATACGACGATTTGCAGCGACCAACGACTTTATATTATCCACATCGGCTTTCAACTTTTCCGCAAATAGCGTCACTAACACCAAATAAATTTAATATCGTTGGGAACATTCTCGTACACGGATTTTAGAAAACGTATAACGGTTCGATGGTTGTTTTTGAAAGGGAAATCGCCCATTGAAATCAAAAAGTTCTTGGATGATGTATATAGTAACTCTTCGCATTTCATGGCGAGGTTCAAAAATGTGTTTAATAGATGTAAATTATGTCGCACCAATTAAAAATGCCGGAAAAAGTGAGACTGTAGGAATATCAATAGGCCATATCCTGCATGAAGTATTCGACATGAGAACGCTGTCAGCGCTATGGAAGCCGGGTGCTACCATGAGTTTACTTCATAGCTGTGTTGGACACTGTTTAAGTGCAATATGAAGATGTTTTTATGTCGTTTCGTAACTACCTAGGAAACATTTAGCCACTGTAACCACAGGTATACACTAAAGCCCAAGAAAAGTCGAAAGTGTAGAACCAGCATACCTGCATCGAAGGAGTCGAAGATTGTCCTATCGGCCGGAAATTTGATAAATACCGTTTTCTATCACTCACAAGATGTTATCTACATACGTCGATTACCTGAGATGGCCCCCTCTGATAAAGAATAAAGTGCTATTCAAACATGATAATGCAACGGACCACAGAAAACTTCAATTATCCCGAAATACAGAGAGAAATATTTCAAAAATATATATTTTATATAAAAGCAGTGTTTTAATAAAAACTTCTATTACCAGTGCAAATGTGATCAAAAGACAATCGTATAAAAAAAAAATATATGTGCCTGGTCTACGAAAAAGGAGCTAACGTGCGAAAACTAGTTTATGACTTTTTAGATTCTATCACGTGAAAAATCATCTCATCTTCCATTCGAATCAACTAAGATTTTTTGACACCTAAGCCCCCTTTCCTTAGACCAGGTCACATATATCTATATTTATTTCTTAACGAACAATATAATTAATAAACTAACCTCAAAATGCTGATTTTGAATTTTCAGATATCAAACAAAACTAATTATATAATATAAATATTTATGTATGTATAATTTTCAGAATATACGGCAACCGTTAAATATTAATCGCATGTGTTACATCAACGGCTGCAAGCGAGTACCAACCATGTAAAACTAAATATAGACTAACGAACTTTTAGTTCATTTCCAAATTCAACGCCACGCTGTAAATATGTAGTATGTAGTGTAAAGTAATATTTATGAAGAGATGAGTAACCACTATCGTACAAAAATTAAAAATAAATTCGTACCTGAGAAGCATTGCAATAAATGAATGCTAAGTGAAAAGTACAAGTGATCAGAGGGACGAAGCGACGTTGTTGTTATGCAAGAAATAGTGTTTAGTTTTTTAATGAAACTTTGTTATCATAAAAATGGCCATCAATATACTAGATTATGACCATTACGCAATCAGTGCGATTGTCACGGTCAGCATGCAGATTTTATTTTTCCTGATTAACTCCATTTTGCAAATGGACAAGCTGACAGATTTCGCCGGTGGTGTTAATTTTATTATAATATCGCTGCTTACCTTCTTTCTGGGGCAAATTGACAGACCATCAAAGGTGAGTGTTTACAAAGAAATTATTAATAAATATATATATACATAAGTATAAGTATATTTGATATATAGTATCCGTATATATGGATCATTCCATCCGAAATCAAGATTCAAAAGCTTTTTCGTACAAAACACTTTTTTTGTGTTTATTGAAGCAAAATATTGGACACGTATTTTTTATTTCGACTCAATAAAATTTCATTATAAAAATAACTAGTCAGTCTATTGTTTGCGATTTATTCGCAGCTATCCAACGAGATATACATTATGAAAAAAAAAACACCCGGAAATCCTAATTACATTCTCCGACCCCTTCAACTGATGAAAATATTAAAAAAGGTATGTGGTGTTTGAAACCCCTAAGTGTTAGAAAGATGGCAAGAGAGCTCGCCATCTCTCGCGAGTTGTTGTGGATATTTTGGATATGAAACGCGTTCAACTCGTCCCGATAAAGCAGATTTTTTTTTTTTTTTTTCAAAAATAGCAGCCAAAAAGGCTATGAATACTATCCATATGATTTTTTCTTGTTCCCCAAACTGAATTTGCCGCTCCGTGTAACCTGGACTATTTAGTTTGGAAGTTTATTACAATTTGTTGGATCTACCATTTGTCGGTTAGTGTCAAATCACGAATAACAAGCCAAAACATTTAAAATTCGTACTTGTCTGCTTGATAGATCGAAGTAGAGTATTATGCGATAATCCATTGAAGGAGCAATCCGTTAACGATGTCTTTTTAATCTTATAATTTCGATAGATACTTTCAAGTACAATGCATTCAGTAGTTAGGCTATTGTATTTGTAAAATTTAATACACATCTTACAATATATGTATGTACCTTTAGTATATTTACTATATGTACACAAACAATTTGTATATTCTGATACAATACGTGTGCCATGTAGGATAAGATATATGTACATACACCAAGCAAACATTTTTATGACAGAAAATACTTTTTGGATGGTCAATGTAACGTTTTTTAATACACTTGACACATAGTATATTATCTAAATACAACCCTTTTTCACAGCACAGAAGTATCCAGTCCATTTATGAATGATGACTTTAACAGTGTTTTAATTGAAGTCTACTGGAAATGAAAATGCTTCAGTCTAGCATATATAATATTTTTCAGTTAAGCCTTTTTCCCATAAACACACTAATGCGAAAATTTAACAAAACTAATTTGATAGTCTAATTTTAAGCATCAATGAGCCTTAATTATTTTGTTTATGTAGTAATGTTGTTTTTGCATTGTTCGCACAACGTCTGGTTGTAACAGCCTAATTAGTAAACGATTGATAATTGGATTAGTTCAATGACTGCGCAGGCATACCTACAGAGGCTTATTAATGGTTAGGTTGAGAGCGTTCTTTAGAACAGTAGAGTGCTGTTAATTGAGCTTAAAAATTTTCAGGTTTTGTTTGTCGGGTCATAAAAGAGAAAGTGGAATGTTTTGGGAACTTTCTTCTCTGATTTAAGGTACTGATCAACGCATCAGATAGATTGTTAGACTGTTTCAGCTGTTAAGTGAACTTTACTCAACGTCGTTTTTGCAAAAGTTTCTGGTCTTATGATACGAGTTTAACCTTGATACGCTTCATATCCAAAACATTCATCAAAATTTATTGAGTTGGTCTATAAGAGATGTTAAGATCCACTGCTATTTTTCTGCTGCCAATAAGACGGTTTTCAAGAAAAGCTTTGTTTTAACTTTTTCGATGTTAACTTCTATCAACAGAGGTGGAAGGACGACTCAATTGATTTCGCCACCGTAACTGAATGCTTTGTGCCACTCAAATACTTGTGTTAATGATACAGCAGACTCCCCAAAACACTTCTGCCGCATTTTCAACGACTCCGTAGCCATGATTCAATTGGAAACACAATATTTCAAAAAATTTCGTTGTTAAACTTTTTCCATGGTAAAAATTGTGAGACAAATTGTGACTATTATAAACAAATAGCATTCAAACACATCTAGGGAAAAATCTTCAGACCAGCCCAGGTTTCACTCTACTTAGAGCTTGCTGAGATCTGATTTGTAAGGTCTGATGATGTATGCATATACATATTTCCCTTGCGATGTCTTGCGATTGTCCAGGTCGAGTGGATTGCTTGCTTCACTACCAGTGGGCGAATCGAAGATTTAAGTCCCGCGTAAATAATAAAACCAACAAATCGTTTCTCTAAAAAGAAAATCTGTCAGAGTATTTGCATACCACTCACTGGAAACCCTTCTCCTATTTCCTAATAAAAAGTTTATTGGGTATACAGCTTATGCGAGTTAGTTAGTCATGAGACATCGCTGATTTCCGGATACAAGCCCCCTACAATACACGACAGCATCTTCATCACATTTCAAGTAGCCTTTGAAACTTGTGCCTAGTTGTGGTTATGGATGTCGCCGTAGAAGGCGTAATGTATGCTCAGTTGCATTTCGAGGATGTCTCTTGTGTCAAGAGAGCTGACAGTTTTTATCTGCGCTCAAAGTGATGCATGTACGTAAGTCAACCTGTATGCGTCTACACATGACGAAAGTGCACATCATGTACATATGACATATTTATATACGTTTGTGTATATATGTATAAATTTTTGCATACAGGCATAGTCTATAAACTCTTAAGTCCTCAATGTTAGCTTGTCAGTGACGCTTTGCCTTTGACCCTCTGAGGAAATCGTTATATGCGCAACAACGAATATTCCTCAAACAAAACGCTCGTTAATCAATACACACACATTCACATAAATACACGCAATAAATAGTTGCAAGCTTAGTTCTCAATTGTCAATACAATGTTTGGGGCGTTTGGTGCATTCTATGTCACCAGGTACGCCTTTATGCCTCGCTTTGTGGTTGTGTGTAAGCGCATATATGTATGCATGCGGTGTGTGTGTATGCGTAAGTGGCTGGTGTGAACTTGGTACATTCAGGAAGTGGGCATATTTTGATGTCACTAACAATGCATAATTGCAACGATTCGCAACGCTGACTCAACTGGCAATTAAACACTTGTTCAAGGTCTCTCTAGTGCCACAGTTTCCTTCGTCAATGTCAGGGCCGTGGCCTTTCAACCGGCCGGGTAGCCACAACAAATTTGCAAACGAAAATTTATTTAACTTTTAGTCTACTGAATTCTCTAAAATTGTTGCAAATTTCATTTGATTTACTGCGGAAAGTTTTAAAGGCACCTTGTGCTTGTTGCCTCTTAAGGACTTAATGGCTTTGTTAGCATGCCGAAAATATTTATATTTGTGTATTAGAATATTTGTAAAATATTGGTGTAATTTCCCCTGTTTATACACATGCCTTGTTCTCTAATGCTAAGTACAATATCACATGTTCGCAAGCGCTGGAGAACCTTAAGAAAGGTCAGTGGTTGTAGCTAGTTAGCATTGCTCAGCAAGTTTGTTTTGTATGTAAGATATACTATATTTCTAGCAATTTCTGTAAATAAAACTGACTTCTAGGCCTATTCCAGTTAATTTATATATCTATAAATATTTATGTAAATAAATTGTACCCTTACCCTATGGTTGCATCGATTGACTATGAGTAGACACGTTTCTAGTGAATTAATAGCAGCACATGTTACCTCCTATTTCTACAACAACTTTGCTCAACATCGTGCTCGCTTATAAACATGCTTCCGTTGTAGTGCTTGTTTCCGAATTCTTGAATGCAAGCGGATATTGACAGCAAGCTGTGAGCCAAATGTTTTTTATTCTACACCATATGCCGAACAATACTATTTTACTGAGTTGCTGTATGGTTTCTGTATCGAACTCTTTAGAGGTTCGGTGATTTAATGTTTGTGTTGTATAACATTTTCTTATAGACTACTTACATCACATTCAATAGAGTTGTGACTATTGAAATATTTGAATTTAGTTGAATGTTTTAGTAAAAAGAATCAATAACTATTAGGTTTTTCGAAACCACTACAAGCGGACCATCTAGTGTCTTCTCTAGGACAGGACTGTCATGGCGAAGTTGGGCAATACCCAGGCATTACGAAAGGCTTATAGAGACAGCCGCAAGGTCCAGTTCTGTCTCCGTTACTCTGGAAATTAGTAGTGAATGACCTAATGAAAGATCTCGACAGACGAAGCTGTTGTTACGTTCAGATGGTGTTGCTCTCATAGATAAAGGGAAATTCCTACATTACGAGTTAACAAAATGGTATCACATTGTACGGAAAGAAGCGGCTTAACTGTAAATCCAAATAAAACTGAACTGGTTTCATTTACCAGGAGTTATAAACTCTCACAAGCACCTCCCGCTCTCGATTTCAGCTTGTCAAAAAAGTGCATGAACCTTATTCTTGATAGAAAGCTGTCATGGAAGCCCAATGTTGGAGAGAGGGGGTGATGAACACAGTGATTACCTTATATCGTTGTAAAAGACCTTTTAAGAAGCGATGGGGTGTCTCTTTTTTTTACGAAAGTTTAATTAAGCCAATACGGTTCAATGGTGTATTTGGCTTTATCGAGGCGCTCGTTAAAGCCACACTCACTACAGAGCTAGACTCCTCGTGGCAGTGTTATGACGGGAGCACTCAATCAACTTTTGTTTCAGACTGCCAGACCACAGTAGTATCTTTTAAGCAGAGTTCTGTTAGGAAGGTAAGCAACCACTCTGACAGAAGAGCTATTATACATTCCTTGAGATCACTCAGGTTATCATACTTTCTACGAACGCGGCTAATTTTCTGGAATTGATATTAACCTCTCTCGACTGTCTTTGAAGGCTTTGTACCACTCGTTGGTTTTTGAAACACCGTAAGCCTTTTTCAATATTCGAACCGATTCCGAACACGAAATTTTAAGTAGATTTAAGTAGAGAACTAGTTCATCGCCGCTGTCTCCTTTTACTAGTCCATACCTCTGACTCAGTTATTTGTTACTTCAAGTTTTGATATGGTGAATTGTCTCATTGGAGGTGGAGAAATTAGGAAGTTTTATTTTTAATTTTACGTTTGCTTTTACTTAGCTATAACTTCAGATTGTGTACACCTGTCTGTTTTCCCACGAGTCTCTACGTGAACGTACATATTCGTGACGTACAATTCTTATTTTAAAATAAGTCTGTCTCGGTAATGGTCTTGGTTGCGGTTGCGCCGCGCATGCAATGTAAACATACAAATGTATTTATGTATGTAAGTACATTTGTATATTTATTGCTTATGTGTGTAAATGAGTGTTAAATTCTTCCATTTGCGGCCCAACTTCGGCCTGTACGTGTTGCTATATTAATGCAATTGCTTTCGTAATTTTTTTATAAAGGGTACATCGTTTAATGGCATGATAAAAGTGGCCTTGTCCTTTACGAAGTACCGAGTCAACAGTTTGTGTTTTTTATTGATTCTATAAAAAATATAAAATAATGCATTCCGCGAAATTGAGTTCAACAAAAGTAAATCGAACAATATTTTTTTTTACATATACATATATTAATAGTAATATTTGTTGTATAACGTCACCCTTTATTTTAGCAGTCTTTGATTTTACCGTTAAAGTGTGCATTTGTCAGATAAAAAGTGTAGGAAATTGCCCCAAATGGCAGAACACAATACAATTTACGTCGGCAACCATAACCGTAATTTGTTTTAACCAAAGGAGAGCCGAAGTTGGTGTGGGTTGCCATTTGGCTTACCTGTACAAGTACAATTGGCATACTACTAGGCGCAAGGCCTACACTTACTAAATTTATCTGCTTGGAAACAACATCGGGAGCACGTGTCCAAAGCGGCTTTTATGATTACACACGCTATTGGAGTTGACATTCGGTTTGGTTATGCTCGTATATAAATTGTTTTATGCTCGTTCAATGAGCACAAATATATTTATGATATTCACAATTATATTTCTACACGGTATATTATTAGTTACCTTATTATTGTAATTCAATTATTATGTACAGTTTTATTGTGTACGCATATAAAGGTAATGGAATTGGGTGGGACCGGGGCCAGCATTATTTGTTACTTAATGCAGTTTCCAAGTACCTTATACTTATTTTCAACTTATTTTATAAGGGTGCCTACTAGTGAAGGCAAATACGTGAATCAGATCCGAAAGCGTTCAGATCCTACATACATATATCGGTGCATGGCTGCATGTGGGGCTAAAGAAATGCACAAGACTACCCAAATAACAATTATATAACTTTCATAAAATCTTGCTAATAGTGAAAAATATGGAAATATGAAAAATTAACTTAAGAAACAGCAGCAATAATCAATTTCTTTTCATAATATTTCTCTTAGGGAATTACATGGGTAAAAAACAAATTTTTTTTTTTAATTTTTTCAATTATTAAATTTTTGGAAAAAAATATTTTAAACTGAGCCATTGTGACGCCATTTCCGGTGAACCCTCGGAAAAAGGATGCAACCGCGTTGACAGGATAAAGTTAAGATTTTAACTTAGAACTTGGACGAAGAAAAAAAAACTGAAAATTGGAGTTTTGCAGACATTAAAGAAATGAAAATTTCGTCACTTTTTCCGTCCAATTCGTTAAGAATTGTATCTCAAAGACCGGTGTAAAATTTCATGAAAACCTGTTGAGTAGTTCTTGGGAAATTTTGCCAACTTATCACGAAAACACAGTTTCAAGAAAACCGCATTTAAGCACGGCGCACTTAGCCTCAAATTCTCAAGGCTGTATTTCCGGAACTTGAATCAACTTGAAAAATTAGTATAATATTCACGAGGTGTTGTAAAATTTAATAAGACAATAAAAAAAATTATTTTTTAAACCTCTAAACCAATGTAGCCCCTTAAGAATCATACAGATTTAAGAAATCGCCCTCTAGATGGTCCGATAACTTCTTAGCTTTATGGTGATTTATCTAGTTTTTTATCATAGTCTGCTTCCAGCAACGATTCAACTTTTCTAACCCGTCCAAGAAATACAGTCCTAAAACCTGCAAAGTACGCCTCTGTGGCGTCAAAAATCTTCTAATTCGACAAAAGTTTGTGCCCGGCGAGTTTCCAGTTAGTTAACAAAAGCACGTCACAGTTCATAGCCTAATTCGTTGCCTTTACTAGGGAGTTCCATGTAGACCACATTCTGTGTTTCTCAGAAAGCGTTGACCACACTCTTTTTGTGCGATAGAATAGTCTTCAAACTGCTACTGGGCATGATTATCTGTGTATTTTACTGTTTCGTGTTCCTAGACCTCTGTTATCTGCCAGTGGATCCAAATTGAGCCTAAACATGGTCTCAGAGTTGTGCTTGTTGATTTAAAAGATATATTTTTACACAGTATTTAAAGAATGCGACCCAATTAGTAAGAATAATAATATCATGCATCTTTCTCATCATTTTTTTTTTATTTTCAGGCGTACGACAGTCGACAACTTATGGTTACCCTATTCGTTTGTCTCTGGGGTGCACGTCTTTCTGGATATCTGCTGTATCGCATAATTAAATTGGGTCGCGATAAACAGTTCGAAGATACAAGACGCAACATAATCAGATACGCGGTTTTCTGGACGTTTCAAGTGAGTACAGCTGCATGAGAGAATCTTTAGTATTTCAATACCATTTCTTACTAACAATAATTATTGACAAATACGTAAATATGTATAGTTGACAATAAGCAGATATTAGCGCGTGATATACTTATGTCAATTTGTTTTTATTTTTAACCTTCACGAACAAAAATTGATTACTCCAATGGAACACGTCAAGCCACAAATGATTTGAAATCCAATAAAATGCGGACAAAGCAATGAGATTGATTGGAAAGCGATTTACGGTTAAACGTACCATTATCCGGTTTTATTTATGCATACATATGTATAGATGTATGTATGTGGATAATTATATTCGATTATTTAAACGTATATATATTGCGATGTAGAAGCCAAGGCAGTTCTCAAAGGCTAGGGTGGGTAGGAAGTTTTTATACTGATTACATTAGTTTACGATTATTTTGCGATTGTGATGGTAGAGGCTGTTTCTTGCTAAAGCATTGCTAAAACATCCCAAGATGTTTAAGAAATCTTATCTTAACGCGTGGAATTATTTTGTTGTAGTCAAGGGATGCCGGGGTAAAAACACCACCATTTACTAAAATCACAAAAATAGCAGGAAGTGAAGGAAGATGTTTGAACTCAAATTCGTAATCTTGACACTTCAAATACTCCACAGACCTCTTAGCACATCACTTGTTTCTTTTTCTTCACAATTTTTAAGTAGTTTTATTGACAAGAAGGTACTGAATATTGTCTAGTAAAAAGGAATCCATTATTTTTGCATTAAATTGAAGGTATTTTCTAGGTCAAATACACACCGTTTTGTTCGATAACATTTTGCCATTTTCAAGATATTTTCATAATGTCATTCATTCAGAAATCCTCGTACTTATTGGAAAAAAATGGGGCATTAAATTTCCATAAGCTTCTCTTGAGGGGAATTTTTCACAAGCAAAATCATTCGTCATATAGAGAAACAGTTAGTAACTGATGCTAGGTTCAGCAAATGCAAATGCATAACAACCTCGAAACCAAGTACCTGGAGTTAACCCAGCCTTAGCCATATGTGCATATGTTCACCGCGTTTTGGCCACCGTTTTCGCTTGAATAAACTAAGTTTTCCAACGGTTATTTGTGAATGTTCAGCTTCTGGGTAGTGGAACGCATCATCGATAAGAACTGTAAAAAATAGAGTATTTTATTTTTGTTTCTGTCCATTGTTGACGCATGGTCGTTATCAAAAAACTGTTTCAGAAGTCTTATTAATATAAACTATTTTTCTAACGCCATCTAGTGTAACCCGCTCGCTCTTATATAATATAAGGCGAGATATATATTATAAAAATAAAGGCATATATTGGGAAAATAATGAATTTCTTTTTACCAGATCTTTATATTGTAGTCGAAATGTTAATCCAAAAGTCATATATTACTAGATGGCTTCACCTCGTTTGCTGGGGAAGATTCCCTTATATCAAATTAAAGTTCAGGTTCTTTGACTTTTATTCATTTAATAACGAATGTCAGTGTTAATCCTTGCACTTTAAAAAATAATACGCTACTTGGAGTCCTAATTTATTCAAGAACCTTGCTTTTGCTCGTTTGCTGGGGAAGATTCCCTTATATCAAATTAAAGCTCAGGTTCTTTGACTTTATTCATTTAATAACGAATGTCAGTGTTAATCCTGGCACTTTAAAAAATAATAAGCTACTTGGAGTCCTAATTTATTCAAGAACCTTGCTTGTTGCCCGTCATCAAGGCGCTTACCAAAAATTGAACAAAATTTCGCCCAAGACATTTATTTTGAGAGTGTGGTTCATAAGTCCGTAAATTGAATTGAAACAAGAAAAAAACCTAAACCTCGATTGGAATGAAACTAGAATTCTGTTCACAAATTAAAAGTTGCCTAACAAGAACTTGATTTTGAGTGGTCCGATTTGAATTATTCGTTTAGAAACTTCATTGTTTTTTTTGGACAATAATCTATGTCAAATTTTCTGAAGATATATACTATATATATAAAGAGTTTGTCTATGGAAGTAATAGGACTGATTTTCTGCTACCGAACAAGCGGCTGGTCAGTTGTCTCCGAGCAACTGGAGAGACAGGACAAACATTTTCGAGCGACGTGTTTCTGTGAGTGGTGCATGACGAAAATGCAGCGTTCGTTAGGGCAAATTCGGTGTGAAACTCGATAAATCTGCGACAGAGATGTTTGATATGATTAAGCAAACTTACAAAGATGTTGATTTAGAAAGAAGTGCATTTTGGTGGCACCTGAACTTCTTGGAGGGCCAGGAAGAGGTCACTGATGAAGACCGTGCTGAGAGACTTGTGATGGAGCACTTGAACATGTGCTATGTAGGTGTGCGATCACTGCTGCCGCGAGTGGAAGTGTGCCAAGAAAATTTGAACATACTGCAGGAAGAGTCATGGACTTTTTTGTTTCTGACAGAATGGATGTAAACAGTATGCACCTCGGTTCTCAAGGCTATTCCGGAAAAAGCCTTCAGTGCCAAATTTAATGCTTGAAAATCGCGCCTATTTTGAAAGTTTTTGAAGTAACGATTGGTTCAATAAACTTTTTTAAATCGACTCAGTCCTATTCCTTTCCTGACAAACCCTGTATATTAAAATAAAAAAGTTTTATTCCAAGAAGTTGATTTGGTTTGGTAGATGGGGGTTCTTTCAAATGAGCAGCTTCTTTTGGACAAAAGGAAGTGTGAAGAATTTCAGATCTCAAAATCTGAACAACTAGATCACGCAGACAGGCGGGCATGACTAAATTAACTCAGATCGACAAACTGATGATTTATATATTTTTTATGGTTTGTTACAAACTTACCCTGTTCGGGGTATAAAAAAGTCTGCACGAGAAATTTGTAAAATTCAAGCAGAAAATGGAATAGTTCTGGAAAGTATGGGATATTAATGTTCTTTGAGTTTCAGTTTTTTAAAACTAAGCTATGCGTATGTATAACGTTACTTAAATAATAATATCAAAAATATTACAACTAATACGATTTACTGTATGCATTCCCATTGCCCCAACATTGTATTCTCGCGACTTTGATTTGTTTTTAAACAATTATAACGGTGTAATTATTTTATACTCAGTACTCAGTGGCTCTGATGGATAGTGATTTTAATGGAAAATAGTCATTGATTTTATTGCTTATGACGTGCGTAGTTTGGCTTATAATTTTCCGCGTTTACCATTAATATTCATAACCTTCCATTTCCCTGTCAATGTGGGAATATGTCCACTTGCCGCTGTCAAGGGGAAATGGCCACGCACGCAAACAGTTTGCAATGTCATTACACACAAACAAACACATGTACATGTTAATATAATGAAGTGTCTATAAATAATACAAAAATCATGGACAAAATGTTTTAGGAAAATTCGACTTATTGCTTTCATATGACAAAAAGCCTTGTTGGCTTCGTAATTTATTAATGATTAATGCGTGTAACTTCAATCAGCTGTACATATAACGGTATAGGATAGAGAAGGTTTTCTTTTTGTATGCTTTTTAATTTTATTTAGCGGAAATATCATTTATTATGATTTATTATCCTTGAATGATGAATTATGCAAAAGCTGATTTTCTATACATATTTTATTAACACTCACTCTTTACAGGCCGTTTGGGTTTATGTGGTCTCCTTACCAGTGATAATCATTAACTCGCCTCGGCATTCACAGCCAAATGCTCCCAAGACTATGACCACATTGGATTCCACTGGCACAGGAATGTTCATTGTGGGTTTGCTGGCCGAAACTTATGCGGATTTGCAGAAGTTCTCTTTTCGACAGGATCCAGCAAATCAAGGAAAATTTTGTAATGATGGTAAGTTTTTTAATTTTTATATATAAATATTTACACATAAACACAATTTTCAAAAAAACCAACCAAGAAAGTCAAGAAGGCTTTCACTAAGTAATTTCTCTTACGTGTCTTAAATTTAAATAATGAAAATATACAGTAGCTTCTATTTAGACCACCAAGCCGAGACTTATCTTTATCTTCTTTAATGGCGTAGATACTGCTTACGCGCTAATCGTAACAGCTTTTAGCTATTTGTCGCCAATTCATGATACCAAGTGCAGCCTGGTCCCTCTCCACCAGGTCTTTCAAATGAAGTGGAGGTCTTCCTCTTCCCCTGATTCCCCCGGCGTCTACTGCGTCGAATATTCTCCGCGTCGCGTCTGTCTCTTAATTCGCCAAACAATGTCGATGTCTTCGTATATCTCATACAGCTCATTGTTGCACTGCGGTATTCGCAGTGCCAATGCGCAAAGGAACATAAATCTTCCGCAGAATCTTTCTCTCGATAACTCGTAACTTTGACTCATCAGTCCATTTCTTTGTACCATTTAGCAGGATGCGGACGATGAGTGACTTGTACAGTTTGGTCTTTGTTGACCAATTGCCTACTCAGTCTCAAGTAGAACCTTTTGGGAAAAGTTATTCTGTGTCGGATTTGGTTGGTGCTAATACCTGTCTCTTATACACATCTAGATGTGTATAAGAGACAGTGCCTACTCAGTCTCAAGTAGAACCTGCTGGCAAGAGTTATTCTGCGTTAGATTTCGAGGCTGACATTGTTGTGGGTGTTAATACTGGTTCCAAGATAAATGAAATTATCTATGATTTCGAAATTATGACTGTCAACAGGGACGTGAGAGTCAAGTCCCGAATGCGACGAGTGTTTGTTTGATGACAGGAGATATTTTGTCTTGCCCTCGTTTACTACCAGACCCATTTGCTTCGCTTCCTTTTCCACGTTATTCTGCAGTAAGTGTTCGAAGATAACTTTCCGAATGGTTTGAGTATCAATTGAGACAGCACAGTTTTATGACTTTCAAAGTCATAGTGGGATTTTTGTGGTCTGATTTTGAATGCATGTCCAGCGAACTTATAGTGCACATCTCTGAGTAACAAAGCAATGTTTGATTGACCAAGTTACAGCGTTAAAATGTGAAACTTGGGATTGAAATCTCAATAAACTACTATAAAACTGACAAGACAACAATTCCTTTTCTTTACGTCGTCGATTCCGATAAAATAATAACAATTGTTGAGTCTCACCTTCATTGACTGTCAAGAAGAGTTTACTATGTAATTAATGGGAGTGACAGGAATTTATCTACTATGAGATGTTTCCAAATTTTCAATTCGGGCCTAGACTATCAACAAATAGACGGTCTGAGGTAAGCATTCGTTCAAACGCAGCCAATTTTGTTCAATAGGAGTGGACAATGCCAGACCACATTGGTAGTAACACGCCAAAAGCTCCCAAAGCCTAGTAGGGAGATTATTATGAATCCACTTTATAGTTTGGATTTGGCATCAGGTGTCTATTTCAGTCTATCATAATGGTTTATAATATAGTGGTATTATAAAATTACCCTCAAAATTACAATAAGTTATCGAACAAACGGTGCATATTTCACTTAATCATGATAAATTTCACGACGCTAAATAAAACCTTCAATTTAATGCAAAAATAATATACATATATTTACTGGATAAATATAACGTATATTTTAAGATTGTGGGTTAGTATTCTAAAGAGTCATTAAGAAAGAAAAAGTTTGCTAAAAATGTTTCGTGAGACTGAAAATGTCACAACTGGTTGACCTTGTCTTCGAAAAAAAAAATCTGAATTAAACTTTTATTCCTCATTAGCATTGTTACATTTCCCCGAAGTCTTTCCAATACACCGCATTCACATATTGTTCATAATTAATTTGTATTTTTCTGAAATCTCGCATACTTGTTTTATGCCTGTTCGCTGAAATCAACTCATTTCTGTATTCCCTGACCACTTCCTTTCATATGCTCATGCCAAGGGCGACATTCCAATTATGCATTATGCTTGTACGTATGTGGGCTTGACATTGAGTCCGTGATTTCATCACAATTCCGTATTAATTTCCTTAAATCCACATATGGACGATATACTTATGGGCAAACATATGTACATATGTACATATGTACATATTAGTAGGGAAGAATGCGTATACATAGGTATATTTTCACTCGCGCTGCGCTGTAGAGCTTCATCTTATTAAATTAACCGTAATGTATGTACATATTTCAGGTCTGTGGAGTCTATCGCGTCATCCCAATTACTTCGGCGAGGTTGTGATCTGGTGGGGTATTTTTGCCATTTCATTAAATGTTATCTCCGGTCACGAATGGGTCGCTATCGCTTCACCCATCTTCACCACTTTCATTATACTCTTCCTCTCCGGTATACCGTTGCGTGAGCGTTCGGCCGATGAGAAATATAAAGAGTAAGTAAATAACTGAAGAGCAAATACTGATAGTTTATGAGCCAATTAATTCATTGCTTACATGTTTACCGCTTTTTCTTTTAACACACACGAACACGTGCAACTTTGAAAAATAGCCAACTGGAATATCGTAAATATAAAGCGTCCACATCACCCTTAATACCCATACCGCCATCGGTGTATGTGGAAGTGCCGAGTGCATTGAAATTCATCCTGTGCTGTGAGTTTCCCATTTACGACACCATGCGCATCCAGAAGGACATCAGCCCGTATTCCTTGTCCATAGCACGTTCACACTCACACATATAGCAATCAGTTGCCCACTCGGGTAGTGGGCAACACGGCGCTGTGGGACATTCATTACAGCGACACGGCACCGACGTAGGCTCCGTACACCGCGGCCAATGCTACGGTGCTAACGGTGGCGATGCGGAGAGTCATCATAATTGTGGTGGCAGCTGTCGTAATGCACACATCAAATCGAATCCATATCAGAGTGAGTCGGGCTATGGCGGCTACACCGGTTACAACATTAACGGTAGCACGTCACAGCAACGGCATGCCAATCTCAATGCCGTACACAACACCACCGATGATGATGATGACACCGATGATGGTATTATCTATATGCCGGGGCCGTCATCGTCCAAAAAGCAGCCACACTACTTTCATGCACCCATGGTGAATGCGACAACGGCGGAGAAGAAACAGACTGTCGAACAATCGGATGGTGAGGAGCAGGTGGAGCAAGAGCTCGAGGAGGACTATGATGAGGATATACCGCCAATTGATTTGAGTAAAGCGCCGAGCATAGAAAGTTTCACGACGAAAGTGCAAACCGAGAAGGGTGTCAATGCGGACGGTGCGTCATTTACGGTAACTACAATACTGTGATCGAACAACTGTGAGTTGCAGTCATATTAAAATTACATATACATATATACCTATGTATATGCATCAGGGTGTACCTGCACTGCGTGGGAGGCCGAAACAGATATCGTATGTGTATTTCTTTAGTTCGAAATGCAATTACTGAGTGAGTATAGAATTTAATTTGTTGCACACATACCAACAACGAATGTACTTGCCAGTATTTAGAAGAGCATAAAAACAGAGAGAGAGGAAGAGGTAGTGAGGAGGTGATCCGTGCCATTTAGTGGCGTTTAAAAACCGATAAAGTATTAAATTTAATTGTGCTATTCGAAATGATTTGCGTTGTTGTGTGCAATAATGTGCCAAAGGCTAACATTTTATTTAAGTAGCTAGCAAATTTGTATGAATGTTCGCTTATAAGCTCTTTAAGTACGTAAAGGATTGCCTAGTACCAAAGAAAAATAATAAAGAAAGTCAATAGCAGACCGCTTATTCTCTGATCTCTATGCTGTAGTATGTGTGTAAAGTGCAATTTTTAACAAAAAAAAAAAAACACAAAAGGAAAATTAACTGTCTTATAACTCAATAAATCTGTACATTTGTATGTGTACTGTAACAAAACTACAGTCCAAAGCAACAAAAACAATTACAATATACTCTAAAAATGTGCCTGTCATTTGTTGCACTTGTTCAAAGTCTTTAAAATTGTTATGAAATTACGCAACCAAAATACCTAAAGGAAAAAAATAAACGAAAATGTGAAAATACTACGATGTATTAAGAGATATAGTTATGTACATGAGGGTGGTGTTTAACACTCAGTAGATAACTTATAATTTCCCAAAACTCAACTAAACTACTAAACTCAACTAAACTACTATAAGTACTACTATAAGTACCTATGCCTAAAAAATCACATGAATTTTTTAGTTACGTTTAGCGAAACATTCAATTTATTTGTCTCTATTTAAAAATATAACACTTGACCCCTGTGTCTTTAAACGCCACAAGCAGTAGGGAAACTTATTTGTTACATTTATGTACGTCGTGTTACCGTTTCAGGCGGTGTCATTGAAGAAATTTTTGTTTACAGCTTTTCAGGACCACCCTAAGGTACATACGTATATATAATATAATCAAAAATATAACTCTAGAACAACTCTAGGACAACTTGTTTTTAAAACTGCTTGTAAATAGTTCTTTACAAACATATTTGTTGTTGTTTATGTACAGTAAACTTATTTTGAATCTCTAATCGACACCTCGAGTACATTTGTCGAATATTCTATCCGGAAGTAATGAGAGTAACTAGAGAGATATGAAGAGAGAGAGAGTTGTCGAACACGCTATCAGAAAGTAATGAGAGTAAATAAGTTTTAGTTCATTATTAATATTTATTTTGATGCCTTGAAAATACTACATTAATATTTAGATTATAAATTTTATTTTTCCATCTGTTCATAAGATATTTTAAATATAAATACACTCCAAGGAAGCCTTGCAATGGTTTAAACTTAAATTAAATCTCATTGCTCCGGGAAAACATGAAATAAAAAAATTAATTGTATTCAAACTTAATTTAATCTCAGTACGTATTCATGACTCTTTAGCTCCACTACTGTCTAATACCGAATCTAACATTTTGAAACATTGGAGTATATACATATCTTAGGTAGTCAAAAATGATTTTCGTATTTCTAATCAAATTTTATCAGATTTTTTTTATAATAATAAATAAATAAATGAATATGTACCATTTTGATAGACCACTTTTTACCATTTCTCCGCTAGAGATATTATTCTATCAGTGTAAATCGAAATTTCGAAATTTCCAGAGCGAAAGCGGGCAAACCATTGTTGGCTACCCGAACTGATACATCGTCTCCATAAATTACACAAATTTCATTGGTGGCTTGCGTGTCATTATTTCCTTTTTTATACAAAAATGTTAAAAATATGGCGAATTTCTCTTTATTTTGATTAATTTTTCGACTTAACTTTTTTCCAACTTGCCCAATTTAATTGAATTGAAATGAAGCTTAAAATCTCACCTTTCTAACAATATGCTTATATTATGGCACAATGTGGTTGGTAGCACTGGAGATATACGACTGCAACGACATCTATTGACAAAATACGAAAAGACTTTTTTGACTACTCAACATTTCTATCAGAAAAAAGTTTCACATAAACCCAAGAGCACTCTAGAGCCTCTTTATGAACAATTGTCGAATAACGTTAAACGTTCGATCATTTTTTAAAGCATAAAATAGGCCAGTTGGAATGGCAGCTATATCCTAAAGTTGTTCAATCATAAATTAATTTTAAAAAACTATTTCCGGATAGACCTTTGACAGATTGTACTCATGCAAAATAACGAAAAAAATGTATTATTTTGTAAACGAGTTGTGTTATCTATTCAGCAGCACTAAGATTGTTTAACTTTTTACAGAATTCTCTTGACTAAGATGTATTTGTGCTGTTTTATTTTACGACTCAGTGCGAAATAGTGCAGTTTTTATTGTAGACTTGTAGGTATGTATGTATGAGTATGTAAGTAAACATTCATATGTTCAAAAAGTAACAGGATTTTTGGATAGAAACCAGTAAGGGTTCACTTATTTATACTCATATAATTATCAAAATCAAATAAGTATATACATACCTATGTATATAAAGAATGATCCATTTCGAGTTTCCCACAGATACTTCAAATTTAATGGGAACTCTTTATGATCATGCGAAAGAACATTTGTAGGCCTTTGGATTTTTTTTTTTTGAAGATTACTCCTTTCAAATGTTGGCCGCGGCTACTTCACAGATGGCTTATACATTAAGTTCAATTTTAGATGACTCGTTCGACCATTTCGACTGATAAAATGCCACATCACAAGTGCAGTTTTGCATAGGCTTTAGACTTTGCATATCCCCACAGGAAAAAGTCGATGTGATATCACACGATCTTGGTGGTCAATTGGGCCGCCCAAAACGTGAAATTATCTACTCACTGAAGGGTTCACAAAATAAATCCCTTTAAGGGTACGTTCTCACTGGCATCGATTTTAATATATATGATATGAACCGATGATTCCACCGGAAATGGTAGTTCTTGAGCTCTAAAGTTGCTTTCCATAGTAAATGCGCCAATTTTGCTTGTTTACATACCCATTGGGCCAAAAATGGGCCTCATCGCTGAACAAAATTTGGCTAGAAAATCTCGAATCTTTTTCGAATTTTTCAAGGAATAGAGCGAAGCGATGTCGCTTGTGAAGGTCGAGCGGTTTCAGTTCTTGTGCAAGTCACATTTTGTACGCTTTCCATTTAGGAACTCGACGTAAAATGTAGCTGCTATATTTTTTCAGTGCGTTCTGACGTGGTCTATTCGCTCGAATATAATGAATGCTGACTATCAAGTTTTTAATTCCTACTACTTAAGCTGCCCTTCCAGTTACTTTATAAACATATGTTACATCGGTACATACCTATACATATACAAACATACTCAATAGAAGTAGTTACTACTTGCTGCACATAGTTAACGACGGTACTATACCACACACAAGACCCACCATCGTAGCAGATGTCGCATGAAACATATCCAAAAGCAAGCCCAACAAAAGTTTTAACTTTGAACTCGAAGTACAACTAACCATAAAAGTTTTAAATTAGAAAACAAAAACAAAAACAAAAATTAAAATGAACTACCACATTAATTTGTACCCATTGCAGATTCCTTTATAAAGTGGTTCAAGAACTTTAACATATCCAAACTCATATGTTTGTATGTACTACAAGTATATATAACGAAGGCAACCTAGAACAACTTAGCATGTTAAAAACGTGTATTTGTTGCAACAAAATCAAAATTATTATACATATAAATCATAAACAAATATTTTAAATATTTTCTACACACACACACCCTTTAACCCCTTTTTAACTGGAAAATTGTTACTGCAAGTTAATTTGGATGTGGAAAGAGTAAGATATTAAAAAGTAAAAGGCACATTGAAGATGTGACAGCAGAGGAACAAAAACAACAAAAATAAGAAAAAACATATTTTTCTGCTTAGTATCTCTTTATATTATGCACCAATAAAAATTAAAAATAAATTGATATTGAAAAAATATTGCTGCTAACTCTTCAATGTGCCTTAAGAGCTTCGGTCAGTCTAGAGTGAAGTCAACAATTTATTCAGGGTTCAGGAAAAGCGTCGAATGTTTCTTTTTCAGGCTTCATTAATAATTTACTTAATATACATATTATAACAGTATTTTCAATAAGAGCGCTACAAAAGAAAAAAAACGGATTGGGATATCAACGAAATTCTTTATAACTATGAAAGTGCATTTGCTGCCATTATGTATGGAAATAGATTCCTTTTGCATGGCCACCACGGACAAGCGTGAGTAGTCCAGACGCTGAACCCAATTTACGACGGTTTTCAAACATAAATCGGCCGATACTGCTGCAATTTCACGTTCGATATTCGTACGAAGTTCATCAATCGTCGCTGGCTTGTTGGCATAGATAGTAGACTTAACGTAGCTCAACAGGTAATAGCCTAACGGCGTCACATCGCACGATCGATTCGACCAATGGACTGGGCCACTTTCATCAAACTTTTTTTTCAATAAATCTATTACGACATCCGCTATAGTGCCGTCTTATTGGAACCCCATATTGTCCAAGGCCATATCAACCAAAATCCGGATAATTTTCAAGTTGTTGCTCAGCCCAAATGAACGAACATACAACGATTCCGAATTTCGGAAGTAAATTTTAATAATTTTGACTCGTTGTAATTTGTAGCGTTCCAATTGAAAATATATATACAAAAAAAAATATATATATAGTATATGTATATTATTTTACGTGCCTAAGTTGACTTACGTGAACCCTTGAGTGATGAATATGAATCCTAAATAAACTCTAACTTAAGTAAAAAAAAAAAAAATTATATTTTTTGAAAATCTGAGTCTGGCCTAACCTCTTACAAGCAAAATTTGTTATATGACTTCTTCTATATTATTATATATTCTACTATTAATTAATTTTGTTTTTGCAATTAAAAAAATTCTTTTACAAAATTCGCAACTGCTCAATTTTGCTCAACACACAAAACAATCGTGTAGTAATTTGCTCATAACGCTCACGTACGTTTCATGAATGAGCTCTAACGGATTTTGTACTTACGCTCTAGTGTGATTGTAATATTATATACTTTTTTTTTTCAAAATTAAAAGACTTACTATTCTAATAAATTTACGAAATTAACTAATTTTTAAGAAAGGAAAAAGAAATGAGATTTTAATACATAAAATAAAGAAGCTTGCTTACATGCTGTCTATGGAAGAAATTCTCTTTTTTTTTAGCTTAAATACTATTCTAGACTTTGAAACAAATTTGACATTTTTGTATGCAAGTTTACACACACATACCTATACACATATTCATAATAAAAATCAATTATAGACTAATATTTATTAGCAAGACACTGTAAATATGTATATGTAACCCAGAAACAACAAATATACATGGTGTGTAGACGTGCATACACGATTGTAATTTGAACATGAATAACTGTGAAATCTTTATAAGAACAATAAACAATTTATTGCATAATTAATATTTATTAAAAATTGTTAGTGTGTGAGAAAAACAGAAAATAGTTTTAGCATAAGTTTAAAGGAAAATAATGTTTTATTTCAGTAAATGAATTACTAATACTTATATAAAATTGCCATTTACTCGTACAGTATTTATTAGAAAATTAGTCAAATATGGCAACTACATAAATAATTATTATATTTACATAAATGATACTAACTAACTACATACATACATATGTACTCGTATTTGTACTTGAGAAATGCAAAAACTGCAAAAATAATTATAAAAACATAACTGCAGAAATAAAAATAATAATAAATAAATAAATTTAACTTAAAAAAAATATGTATTTAAAACGAAGTTATATAAGAAACATACATACATATAAACAAATACTCAAAATTGCATATGCTGTGGTTACTAATAAAATATTTGGTGGATGCGAACAATGGGCAAGTTTTGCCATAAATGCTTTTTTAATAAAAAATAAACATAAAAAATACAAACAAATAATTCTAGTAATATGTAGTGATGAGGACAGTGTTTTTCGTGCAAATCTTTTTGAGAAATCATTGAATATTTACAATAATATAAAAGAAAACAGTAAAAATTCGTAAAAGGCAACAACAACAATTCTATAACAAATTTAATCTGTATATTCAAAAAATATCTAATATTCTCTGTATTTTTAGTAAACAAAAAGATAAATGATAAATATATAGACAACAATTATTTCCAAACATTTTATGCGTTAACTTTATTTGGTGTTGGAAGGGTATTAGATTGATAAACAAATATTCCACTGCAACCTAAAGACCATTGTGCTCTTAAAATAGGAATTAGGAAATTAGACGACGACCGTTAATGGTTCTTCCAATGGGCAACATACACATATCTTTAATGTCGTCCTTTGTACTTGGCAGCAAAATGGGAGGTGCAGAGAGCGCGAAGTTTAGTTCATTACCGCTATTAGTTCGTGTTTGACAGATTTGACGTCATGAACGATACG